CATCAATGTTTTTAATCAGTCTTCTATTGTACTTTACCTGTGGGGCTCAAGCATGAATGTGCACCAGAGTCACCTGGATTTCCCACATGTCCCCCACACCTGCACCCCTCAGGTTCTGGTTCAGGATGTCTGGATTGGGTCTGATGTTTGCATTTCCCAGGCAATGCTCCTGCTCTTGGTCCCAGATGCTCACTTAGAGATTCCCTATACTAGGCCATCCCTGACAAAAATGAGGCCCCTTATATCAAGGGCTTTCAAACTCAGTAGAACTCACAATAAGTATATTTCACATCATGACCCTAGCATAAATGTTATATAAATAAGCAAGTTTCATGAAATAATACTTCCCATGACTATAATAGATGCACTTAGATTTTTTTTTTTTGTTGTTGTTCTAAGAAAATGCTGACCCATTAATTACAATTTAAGAACCATTATTAGATTATGCCCTGGCTGGATAATACATGAGTGTTTGATATATAAAAATTGTATTAGTAAAAAAGCACAACTCAGCATTAGACAACGAGGTAAGAAATAAGTTACATCTCCTTCTCTTTCCCTATTCCCATAGAAAGGCCATAATAAAAACATGGAACCTTCCACCTTTAGGCAGGTGAAGTCACAGGGAAACCTTGCTGCTGAGAGAGAGATAAAGAAGCCTGGAGTTTGCAGGGAATGCCCTTGGGCTCTGAGGTATGCACTGTTTTCTGGTTAAAATGGAAATAACAATGAAGAAAAGGACACATCTGCTTGCTTCAGCATGTGGAGAATACAAAATGCCTGGGGCGGCACGGGGAACTCCATGTGACATCTGCACACCTGGGCATGGAAGTCAATCACCTTGTTCCTCTTCTTTATAGATGCTTTCACGCATCTTCCCAGAGGGCCAGGGACTTGTGTCAGCTCTGGAGCAAGGTCCTTGGATCTCCTTTATCTAACATGCACACATTATCTGGTATGATTTCACTGTCCTCAAAGTTCATAGGTTGGAAACTTAATCCCCAATGCAACAGTGTCCAGAGGTGGGACTTTTAAGAGGCAATCAATGGATTGGTGTCATTATGAGGGGAGTGGATTTCTTCTACAAGTGGGGTTACCCTCTCTTGCCTCTGTCTCACTCATGTGTTCTCTTACCCTTCTGCCTTCCACCATGGGATGACACAGCAAGCAAGATGCCAGTACTTTGGTATTAGACCTCCTGGCCTCTAGGACAGTAAGAATAAATATATTTTCCTTATAAATTACCAGTCTGTGGCATTCTATTTTAGCAACACAAAACGGACTAAGATCCTACACAATTACATTATTAAACTTTCATACATATGAATTGACTTTTCCACTTTTCCACTAGATAATTTTCAAATTATCCTTCCTACAGTGTGGCCTGTGGGGACTTACTCAAAGTGCCAGACACTGTCACTCACCTTTACTAGTGCCAGTTCTGGTTCACAGTTCCCTGCTATATTGTTGTTGTTTCTGCAGCCTGGTTCTCTTAGAATAGAAAGCTCCAATCTTCCATCCAGGCCTGGACATCTTGTCTGGCCCAGTCTGTGTCTGAGCCTCACTCAGATATCACCTGGGCTTGGGAGAATGGCGTGCATGAGGAATAGGTGGAGAGAGACAGGTTCAGATCTCAACTGGGTTCTTGCTTTAGTCGAGTCAGAGAACCTTTTTTTTTTGTTTGTGGAATGCACCTAGCATACATCTGAGTCCAAAGATTTAAGGAATACCATGGGGCACAGGTCCTTCCACCTTTGCTCTGTGGCAGGGTTAGGCTTATGGGAAAGAAATGCAGTCAGACGTCCAAAAGTAATGCACAGTCTCCTCATCCCATGAACATTTCCATCTGTCCCTTCTGGGCTGGAAAGATACATAGCATCACTAAAAGTATTTGTGCTTTTTGTTTAAAAAGGAAAAGAAAAAGGAGAAATAAAACTTTTTTGGGGAACCATTTTTTTTTTTTGCACTGGAGATGAATTCAGGGCCCCTGGCACATGCCAGACAAGTATTTACCAGCAAATTACACCCTCAGTTCTTAACCAAAATCCTCTGGTAATCTCTAAGTCCAAGTCTGATTTTGAAAATTATACCTTTCATTAGCTGTATCTCACTTCCTTTGTTTTTTCTTTCTTTCTTGGTGTTGGGAATTGAACCCTGGGCTGTGTGTCTGGTAGGCAAGCACTCTGTTCTACCAGAGAGCTACACTTCCAACCTTCTAAATGGCTCTTTTTAAAATGAGGATATCCAACAAGATCATCTGAATGTTTTGTTTCATTTTTTTTCTTTTAGTATTTGGGATCGAACCCAGGGCTTTGTGCAAGGCTGTACAACTGAGTCACACTCTAGCCCTTTTTTGAAATTTTATTTCAAGACATGGTCTCACTAAGTTTCCCAGGCTGGCCTCAAACAGGTGATCTTCCTGCCTCAGCCTCCAGAGCAGTTGGGATTCTAGGTGTGCACCACCACACCTGGCTGGATATGAAATCTTTTAATCTTTAATTTTGTTAAGCAGTGAGTTTAACTGGTAGAATTTAAGACCAGCATGGCACCATTATATATGCTCAACTATATTACTTTTCTTAAATCCTTGACCTCAACTTTGGCAAACATACAGCCCGGGTTCTAATACAGATTCTTCTGGGCAAAATTGAAGGAGTTATTTTACTTCATCGTGTCTGTTTTGTCCTGTGTAAGAAAATAGGCATAAACATAGTACCTTCCAGGCTGGGGATGTGGCTCAGTGGTAAATGTTCACTAGTATGCTTGAGTCCCTGGATTTCTATCTGCAGCACTGGAAAAGGAAGGAAGGAAGGAAGGAAGAGAACTACCTTGCTAGCAGGCAGTGGTGTGTCACATCTTACCAGCTCACAAGAGGCTCTCGTGTATCTCTCTTCCAACTCTGTGTTTAGGGATGACACTAGCAGCTTAAAATTCTTATGTATTTACACTGCAGAAATTGGCAACCACTATGAACCACGACTTTTTCCTCCTAGAAAGCCACCTGCTAAACATTGCCCAGTACAATGATATTGACAGGATTGTTGCACAGGTTAAACCTGGTGATGAATGCAGAGGGATTACCACATTGCTTAGCACATGATATTTACATATGCAAGTATGGATGCATGTGTCAGCTCTTATCAGTCAAGTTTTGTTTTTAAATTGTCATTTTATTTTGATTTGTGTTGTTATCTTTCCTCTTTCTGGAGTCTTTTTTTTTTGGGGGGGGGAGGGTACCAGGGATTGAACTCCAGGGCACTCAGCCACTGAGCCACATCCTCCACCCTATTTTGTATTTTAGAGACAGGGTTTACTGAGTTGCTTAGCGCCTCACTGTTGCTGAGGCTGGCTTTGAACTTGGGATCCTTCTGTCTCGGCCTCCTGAGCTGCTGGGATTACAGGCTTGTGCCACCGCGCCCAGCTTTCTGTCTGGAGTCTTTCCCAATTGAATGGTCTGGCTGTTCTCTTTGGTGGAGGTGATAATGTATGACTGGGAGTGGTTGGCAGAGGCTACTTTCTGCTAGAAAACTGAAAAACAAAGAGCATCTATTCATAGTGATAGAAGGGATGATTCAGGTGCAAAGAGAAAAGCAGAGGAGAGAGAATCGAGCGGTAGCGCGCTCGTCTGGCATGCGTGCGGCCCGGGTTCGATCCTCATTAGCACCACATACAAAAAAAAGAAGATGTTGTATTCGCCGATAACTAAAAAATAAATATTAAAAAAAAAAAAAAAGAAAAGAAATACGTGAAATTCATGGATTTCCCTTCCCTCCCTCACCTCCCCACCCCCAGTTTCTAACCTCCTATCAAGTTTTATTTTTAATGTTTGTTACAGCATTTGGTACAGAGTAGGAGCTCAATAAGTATTTGTTGAATGAACAAGTTAGCAGGTACCATTTCCCCCTACTTTGTAGCCCAGAGGATTCTAATAAAGAACACAGATCCCATTCTTTGTTAAAATCTCAGTCATTTATGGCTCGGGAAGCTGGCTCTACTTTTTCTGATTCCAGTGTTCATCCAGAGGCAACCTCATGGGGAGTACAGTCATAAGAAAGAGTCATCTTCTCTGGGCTTCAAATATCTTATTTATTTATTTATTTATTTTTGGTACCAGGGATTGAACTCAGGGGCACTTAACTGCTGAGTCACATCCCCAGCCCTTTTAAAAAAATTTTAATTTTGAGACAGGGTCTCATTAAGTTGCTTAGGGCCTCGCTAAGTTCTGTGGCTGGCTTTGGATTTAAGATCCTCTTGCCTCAACTTCCTAAGTTGGAATTATAGGCATATGCCCTGCTCAGTTTTTAAAAACATATTATAGATGATAAAAGAATTATCTAGGGGCTGGAGATATAGCTCAGTTGGTAGAGTGCTTGCCTCACATGCACAAGGCCCTGGGTTCAATCCCCAGCACCACCAAAAAAAAAAAAAAAAAAAACCAACACACACACACACAAAACAAAAGAGAAGGAATTATCTGTTTTCTGTTTTTGTGAGATTTAGAAATTATTTTTAGGAGAATTTTAGAAAGGCAGAGGAGAGAAAAATGACAGTTCAAATATAAGATGCTGTGTTGGAAAGAATTTTGTCTTGCAAACAATGACTTAGTTGGTGAGAAAGTTCCATTTTGGAGCACTGTGGGATAATAAGGCATTTATTTGTTCTCTGATCACTGTGAAGAATTGCATCTTTGGAAATCTCTGGAAAACCTTGATGACCTGGCATTACTTAGCCGTGCAGGGCCTCTGTTGTGAAGGTCAAGAAAACATTGCCTAAGGAGCGAACTCAGAGAAGTGCTAAGGCTGCCTTGGAGAATGGAAATGACACAATTCTGATATTGCAACAGTTTTAAGCTACATTGCAGTTATATTGCAATCTGGTATTCTGCTATTCAAGTGTTAGGAGAGAGAAGATAGAACTCTACCATGTTTGCTGGAAATAAAACAAACACATTTGCTGTTGCCTTTGAAAATGTCACATGTATATTTTGATTTGGTAGCAGCTTACATGAACTCTTGAATCTTCTCTTCCAATCTTTTAACATCCATTCCATAAAATTCAAAAATCTGTTTCAAACACACAAAAAGGTAAAACATTATTCAAGCATTACAAAGATGTTGAGGCTTTGAGGAATTTCTTTCCCGGTTATAAAATGAACTCCTTCATTACCATAATCTTCAAGATGCTTTAAATATAAAGAATACATTAAACATTAAATTCATGATATTTTAACATTTGTCACCCTTTCAAAATTGCTTATGGCAATATTTTCCAGGTTTCTATAATTCTCCACAAAATCCCTCTTGTCTATCCCAATAATTGGAAATTCCCAATAATTGGAGTTTTTTTGCATTGGTATTGAGGACCTATTAATTCATATACATGATCTTCTAAAACCAAATGGCTTGAGTCTTCTTATTCCCTGACTTCTGTCATGTCATTGTATATAGAATTGATTCTAAGATGCACATTTCCTCTTCAAAATTTTACATCTCTTGGTTTTAATCAGAACACTTTTTAGTAATATACAAAGTAGTGGTACATTTTTAATAAGCATTTATATTTGATGAAATATGGAAGCCCCAAACCCTTACTGCTTATTATGATTTAGCATAAATTGTATTTGGTGGTTGGAGAGAGGGAAGGGTGTATAGGTAAAAAGAGGCTGGAATTGGGTGAAGGCTTGTTTCTGGTAAGGACAGTTTTGGCACCAAGAATGAGGTCAGGACTTTGGAGCAAGTGTTGGTTAAGTCCAGAACAAACTTCAGTGCTCAGTGTCCTGCAGAGAAGGTAACTATCCACATACCTGATGATTCTGCTTCCCCAGGCAGCAGCATTCTGCCAGAGGCTGTCATTTTATTTATTTCCTGAGTGTAAATTCAAGGCTTCAACTTGCTCTTGATCGCATTGACTTACCTGCTCGGCTGTGGATCCACTTACCTGCTCGGCCATGGATTCACTTGTATTACAGCAAAATGTTGTTTTGACTCTTGAGAATACAGTTACCTAGAAGTGGGTGCAGAATTTCATTATTTGTCTGAGTTGCCTGCTTTGTAACCATCTCCCTATAAATAATTCCCCCTTGGCTTTGGCCAGGGGAGGAAGCTGTCAGAAAGGATCTGCAAATGGTTTTCTTTCCTAACAGATGACTGCTGAATGATTGCTCTGGGACATGAAGGAGTTTCATAATCTGATTTTAAAGGAACTTTGTCCCTTTAGCCAAAGCTGGAATGAAATGGAGGATGGGAGAGGTTCTGGGTTCCACTTCAGTCTCTCTGTTTTTCTCATGAGAACTGGAAGAGTGGGCTTCATTATGTGGGAGCAGTGGCTCCCATTTATCCATTTATTGTACCTTCTGCCAACAATCCTCCTAAGTCTCTACCCTCTACTTTTCTGATACAGAAGTAGCTTGACATCTGAGCAAGAGACAGACACTGGTAAGGGTTGAATAAGAAGTTCCTAAGGTGTGTCTCTTCCCTGTTACTGCCACCATGCAAGTCCGGGAAGTTATCTGGACTCCCAGTGGTCTATAAGAAGATATATATACATACATATATAGATATATATGTATATATATTTTGCATATGGCAAAAGCCTTAGTGAATCTGATTATGTCTGCTTATCTTAGATTGTCTCTTATTGCAAAAAAAAAAAAATTGAGGAATCAGAGAGTTTTGGAGCCCCAAAAGATGGGCTTCTCTTGGTGGAAACTGTTTTCATGGTGGGATGTCACAAGTTCTAGGAATGCAGGGGGCAGGGAGGAGAGATGTGATATGCCTGTGCTACGCTACTTGGATAGCCATCAAGGTCAGCCAGAAGCCATAGGTGCAACAAGAGCCTCAACTGTTGTGGAGTCTGACTCTTCTTTCTTCTAGGTACCTGGAATCTAGCTCAGGGCACTCTCACCCATGCTGTCACTCAAGCCAGGAAACTGAAGCCACATTTAAAAGAATTCATATACATTCAAAACCATGCAAAGATTATAATTGTACAGCTTGGAAAATTATTACAAAGCCCACTATGTAGCCACACCCCACATCAAGGTATATTTAGACACCCCTGCCCTGTCATTTCCCAAGCTCAAACGCAATTTCTACTCTGAATTTTTCACAATGAATAGGTTTTATCTGTTTATGAACTTTTACAAATGAAATTCTCTAGTATGTGTTCTTGCATCTGGTTTCTTTCACTCAATGTGATACTCAGGAGATTTATCTTTGTAGCAGCAGTACATTTATTTTTCAGTATTCCATTGCAGGAATGTAACACTTTTATCCATTTTGGCTATGACAAATGATGCTTCTGGGGACATTTTTGTTCCTATCTTTGTGAGAAATCTTTTGGGGCACATAAGAACCCATTTGTGGTATATCTGAAAGTGGAATTATAGGATTCTACTTTCGTAGAAACTACCCAAATTATACTCCATAGACTTTCAAATTATGCTCTACTAGCTAAGGAGGAAGGTTCTCATTGCTCCATAGCCTGGACAGCACTTGGTATTTGCCAATCTTATTCATGTCAGTTATTCTGGTGGCTTTAGGTGACATCAACTTTGCCACATAATTCCATGGATGTTACCTTTGCCCACTTTTACCTGAATTTTAGTAACAGCTCTATAATTTGTCTCCTGTCTTATTTCTCAAAATCTCCTCTCCTTCCTGAAGCTCAAAACCACAAATCCACTCATGCCATCCTTCTTTGTAAACTTCCTCAACACTTCCCCATCACCATCAAATCCAAGCTTCTTAAAAGGTCTCTTTGATTTTATCCTGTCTACCTCGCTGTCCCTCCCCCTACCACAGACTCTCAACTCTAACACACTTCAGAGTTAGATGCGTTTGTTCATTTAACAAATACAGTTTGACTATCTCATATCTGAAATGCTAGGGCCCTGGAAGTGTCTCCGATTTCATATTTTTGGATATTTGCACATACATAATGAGATATCTTGCAGATGCGACCCAAGTCTAATGACAAAATTCATTTACATCTTGTGTATATCTCATACGCATAGCCTGGAGATAACTCAATACAATATTTTTAATAATTTTGTGCATGGAACCAAATTTGTGTACATTTGACGCACCAGATTTGTGGCTTATGGGAGCACTCAAAAAATCTCAGATGTTTTGGATTTTGGATTTTTGGGTTTTTTAAAAGAAAAACTGTATTTAATGAGTGCCTACTATGAGCTGGATATATCGTGAACAAAACAGACACAATCCTGCAGGAGCTCAGAGGCTAGTGATAATTTTATCATTGTATTGTTATTCAAATAATTTCTGACACATACCCATGCTATTTTCTAACACTCTGCTTCTTCCCATCTTTTCTCAGTTGCTAATATAAAAAAAATTTTTAGATGCTGATGGACCTTTATTTTACTCATTTATTAATATGCAGTGCTGAGAATCAAACCCAGTGACTCACACATGCTAGGCAAGTGCTCTACCACTGAGCCACAACCCCAGCCCCTTAGTTGCTAATCTTATCCAGCCTTCATGGTGGTTGAACATGAACTCATGGCATCGTCTCTGAACTTTTTCATTATCATCCCATGGTACTCTGTACATTCCATGATTAAATAATTGACTTTGTCATCTGTGTGTTCCACCAGAGCAAGGATGGACACTAACTCTTATTTTCCCCCCATATTTTTGGTTTCTAGTTTAGAACCTTACAGAATAGGCACTGCATTAATAGGGTTTAGCATAAGTTATTCCATATTAATTTCTGGTTATTGAAGTATGAGTATGAGATTCTCAGTAGCATTAAATTTCAGGGATTAGGTACCGATTGTCTTATTCTTTCTTTGTCCAATTTATCAATATTACATTTGTGTCTCCCTATCGACTAATAGACATTGCATACACAGGAGCTTAATAAATGCAGCTAAGAAATGAGAAACAGCTACTGACAAGAACTTATTTTATAAGTAACCTTCTTTTGAACATATGCAGTTTTCCTTGGATAGTGTGGGAATTGGTTACCATGGATAAGCAAAATACATGTATGATCAAGACCCTTATATTAATGGACTGACATTTCCATATAACTTACGCATGTACTCTCATACACTTTAAATCTTCTCCAGATTACTTATAATTTTATAATTATGTGTTATTATAATTACTTATTGTATTTTAATTACTTTGTGTTATTATAATTACTTATAATATTACTTATAATATATTACTTATAATAACACAAATTACTTATAATATATTACTTACAATAACACAAAGTAAATACTTGTTATAATGTATTTTTGAGGGAATAATGACCAGAGGAAAAAAGTTTGTATATGTTCAGTACAAATGCAATTTTACTCCAAATACTTATGATCTGTCATTAGTTGAATCCAAGAATGTGGAACACATGGATATGGAGGGCCAACTGTATAAGGTAGACAATTAGTTTGTGAACTGTGCCCAGAGTGTTTTCTCATTTTAAGCTGATGCTAGGCTGTGCCTCTCAAAGGCACACGCCCATTGGAAGCATTAGTTAAGTGTGTTTATGTCTCTTCTTGCCTTTATTTTTTATGCACAGCTGCTACCCCAAGAATGACTGCTAATGAGAGCTATGAATGCCAGTGTCCAGAGACCAATGGGACAGAGGGAAGCCGTTCATAAACAGAGTACCGCCCAAGCCCAAGAAGCAAGTTTTAAAAATCTTTTATTATAGACCTTTTCAAACACATACAAAAATAGAGTACTGGGATGACCCCTACCCCACCATTTATCTATCATCAAAGTTCAACCAGAGGCAGTTTTCTGAAGGTCAAAGGCATTCGGTCACCTACAAAAAGTCTGTTCCTGTTACTGAGAAAATACAAAGAGGCTAGAGACAGTGGAACTTCCTAACATATGAATTTCTGAGAGTAAAAATTAGACTTCAGAGTCTGACTAATGATGCATTCATAGAATAATTATAAGAAAATGTCTTGGCCAGTTGATATGCAGTTTTGGTTGAGTGAATACTGAAGTTATATATCTGGACCAGCTACGCAGTCCAAATCAATCTCGTCATTTTCCCAGACATCTGTACTTAGCTAACAACAACAGCAAATCCTGAGGCATCAGCAACAACAACAGCAGCAGCAAACAAAGTAGCACAGAACCACCAACCCACACAAGACATTTTGGGGGGATGGCTGTAGAAGTGTTTGTACATACAATTTTATCATTTATAATAATATATTATTTTAGAAGGGTTTACTAAGGCATTCAATATTATGAATAAGATGGAAGAGATGAGAAGTTTTCAAATTATCTCCACCATCTGCTAAGAGGTGGGCAGTGGTGCTATTTGATCCACTTCTTCCCCAGAACCATCTGCATAACGTCAACCCAGTATTTGAACGCTTCCCCTTGACTTTTCACAACACCCAGGGCAGGCCTTGCAAATGCAAGAAACTCAGTGAAGGTTTTTGGAGTTGAGCTAAATCCTAACAAGAGGGAAGCTTGAACGTATGCACCCAATTTCAAGAAAAGAGCTCATAGAAACAAGCTGTTAATCGCCCCCTTATCTATAATAGCCATCTTTTCAACATGTTCTCATAGTAAGAAGTCAGGAAAATACTAATTTATTTTCCTTTTCTTGTTGCTGGTTTAGAAAGTTCTTACATATTTGACTCTTTGAGCATTGCTGGCATAAATAATGGTAGAAGTGCTTTTCTTCTTCTGTGTTAGATTCAGGTTCAAACTTCATTGATACGGGGCCAGATAATACCTATTTCATGATTCATAGGCTACTCAAAATTTGCTGTTGTAATTTGAATGTTAACAATTGGGTGTGGCTGGGTTCCACAGGTCCCAGGGTCTGATTTGGCCCTCAGGCCAAACTTGTCCTGGGCCTGCAATTGAATGGTTGACATGCAGCTTGAGGGCCAAGTTCTCAGCACAGTGTGGTTTTCCACAGAAGGGGAAAGGAGGAGTGGATCTGATGTTGTGAGAATTCATCTCAGGCCACACAGAGAATAGGAAAAGTGATTTGGGACTCTG